TTTTTTTTTTTTTTTTTTTTTGGTTCAGGATTGAACTCACAACCTTGCACTTGTGAGGCAGGCTCGGTGCCACTGAGCTAAATCCCCAGCCCCAGCTTTTTTTGAGCATTTTATAAGAAAGATTTTGGGGGGGTACTGGGGATTGAACTCGGGACCTTGCGCTTGTGAGACAGGCAGCAGAACCACTGGGCTGAATCCCCAGCCCCGACGTTGAGCATTTTAAAAACAAACCTATTTGCTGTTTTTATGTCCTCTTTGGAGAAATGTCTGTGCAGGCCTTTTGCTCATTTTAGTCAGGTTGTTTTCTTCCTTTGGAGTTGAGTTCCTGGCATATTTTGGATCTTGGCTGTTATTAGAGGTACAGTTTGCAGATATTCCTTCCCGTTCTGCGACTGCCTCCATCCCATGTATGTGGAAATTCTGGATGGGATCCCATCTGTCTGTTTGCTCTGGTTGCCAGAGGTTTTGTTTTGTTTTGTTTTTGGTACCAGGGATTGAACTCAGGACCTTGCACTTGCTAGGCAGGCGTGGAGCCACTGAGCTACATCCCCGGCCCACGGTTGCCAGAATTTTTGAGATCATAGCTGAACATTCTTTGCTTGGCCGACATCATGAGCTTCTTCCCCCAGGTTTTCTCCTCGTGGTCTCTTAGTTTGGCGTCTGCCTCTGAGTCTTCAGTGTCCTTAGGTGTGTTTTTGTGCAGGGTAAGAGAAGTCCACTGTGCTCTTCTGTGTGGAGTTGTTTCCCAGAGCCATGTGTGGAGAGACTATCCTTCTCCCTGTGCATTTGGCCCCTTTGTCAGAGCCAGCCCACTGACTGCTGTTCGGGCCTCTCTCCTCACCCTGGACCCGATTTCCTGCCATTCCTACTGTTGCTGACTGCAACTTAGTGGCATGTTAGGGGTCAGGTAGCAGATGCCTCTAACTCTGCTCTCTGCTTCAGGTCACTTGGGCTGTTTGAGGGCTTTCACCTCCTCCCTCCGAGAAGTGCACCAGAGCCGTGGTGTTGGCAGTTGCCTGTCATTCTCCGTCGTACAGAAACCATAATTCATGCCACCGGGACCGGACGGCTCGGTCTGCTTTCCTCGGGGGACCTACTCAGCATGCTGCACAGGAGCCCTGCAGCGGAGGGCCTTCGTGGTACAGGACACACACTGAAGGGCTGAGATACTGTATGCCCTCGGCAGGCATTGCCAGGAGTCAAGCTGACCAAAAGCAAACAAATCCAAGTCCAGGCACAAAGATAGCTCAACAGTATTTGTGGGCACTGGCCTCATTTTAGGGCCTGGCAGCGGCTGAGGACTGTCACTTACAGGAAGTCCCCAACTTCCAAATGAGCCCCATAAATTGGATCCATTCCTAATTCCGGCACACCCAGTCTTACACACCTCTCAGACAAGTACTCAGTGTGCACCTCCGTGTGCGCCTAGCAGTCCCCTGCACACCAACTCTGCTTCTGCTTCCGGCCGTCCTGGGCTCTGATTGAGCCCTGTGCTGCTGTCCACTACCGCACAGGATGGTGAGCACACAGCACAGCGTGACACTGTCCGGCAGAGGCAGAGCCACTGTGATTTGCATGCATCTGTGAAAGGCGAGGTCCGTTCATATCTGTGAAAGCTCACAACTCGATTGTTCGTAAGTCAGGACTCACTGTGCTTCCGAGTGAACCCATGCTCGTGGGTAGCCCGGAGCACCCAGGTTGGGGCCCAGCGTGACTCCTCCAGGGGGATGCCGAGCTGAAGCACAGCCGTGCTTGGCGGCCGTGTCTGGGGAAGCGGTGGCATGGCCTTCTTTACTAGGCCGGGGTTTCTGTGGTAATGAGATCCAGGGAAAGACGAGGGTCCCTCATGAAGGCCTGGCCTCGGGGTGGGGAGCTCAGGCCGCAGAGGCTGCCAGCGAGCAGCCTGTGTGTGCGGAGCCGCCTTCGCCTGGGGCAGGGCTGTTGGTCCCCGAGTTCTGACTGCTCTGCACCGGCTTCCCGACATCCCTGACTTTGTCTGTGGGGGCTCTGCCCTGGCTGTGGGAGGCACCCCTGGGACAGCCCCTGCCGCCGGCCCAAGGCGGGAGGGTTCCCTCAGCTGCTGGGTCAGCTCTGGGGAGGGCAGTCGCACGTGCCCTCAGGTCCCCGCTTGCCCACCTCTGCCCAGGCGAGCACAGCACCGAGACCCATTCACAGCCAGCACGCGGCTGCAGGCGGCTTCCAGGCTAATCCGACTGGACTTCTGGGGAGAGGCAGACCCGAGCGAGGAATTCTGCGCAGCAGGCTGCTTCACTTACAGCCCCTATCTTCCCTAAATCCACCCAGCTCGAGCTGTCTTGGGGCTTAATTTGGCAGAGTAATAAGAGAATAGAGTTCCACAGGCAGGCAGACACAGGTCCACGGCCACGATTCTAAACTCTTGTCCCTGCTGGGCATGACCGCGCAAGCTCCTGGGCCCCAGGTCGTTTTTCTGGCTGATGGAACAGGTTTGCTGACCAGATAGCTAAAGCATCTGACTCATATTTGTGAAAAGACTTAGGATTATGTCATTTGTTTTCTGCAAGAAAGCTTTTAAAAGGGCAGTCTAGGAGACTTTCACTCTTTCCAGCATCCCCGAGTATCAATTTCTTCCTGTTTTTTTGAGACAGGATC